ATTTGGAGTTTTTGCCAAGACTACAAGTTTTTGTCAGGAAAGAGGAGGAAAAGGCATCAGGCTCTCAGGAAAGAGAGGAAGAAGGTGTATGCTCTCAAGAAAGAGAGGAAACACAACCACAACAAGAAGATGAGGTATTACCAGATGCAAATCCTCGAAGAAATATGGAAGATCGACAGGGACTGTTTTTAGTCAGGCAACTCAAACCAGAGCACAGACAGATCCTCCATGATATTACACTCGCAGGCCAATCAATCCTCACAGGAGATGATCTTGAAGGAGGTCAACCCCTTGAACGTGGTGACATAAGCTTCTTCTCATTATGGTTGATGATGTCAGCATTATCAGATGCTTCTTTTTCAACATTTATGGAGCAGTATGCACCTATGATGGGTTATGAGATCTCTTACGACAAGTATCATGAGTTCAAACTGGATATTGACCAAGTTCTCAAGGAGAATGAACACCTTGGCGCAGAAAATTTCTTTGGAGCAGAGGACCCTGATATGGTGGACGATGATCCAGACACTCCTCTTCCAGATCTTCAAAGACCAGGCGCGGGTGATCCTGAGTACAAGCATACCATTGAAAGTTTGAACATTGAGGACAAGCATATCATTTTGGAAACTGATGATGACAAATTGGTTGAGTGTACATTGAAATGGATCAGTATGTGCAATAAGAATGTTCAACAAAAGATCAAGGACAGTTTTGTCAAACCAGAAGAACGACAAGAGAAAGAAGAGGATGAAGAAGAGAAGATTGCTGTCGAAGAAGAAGAAGAAGAAGAAAAAAAGACACACAGGAGCCACATGTCCCAGCTGAAGGCTCTTCAGAGAAAGAGGAATCAGCTCCACCTGAACGCTCCTCAGAAAAGGAGGAATCAGGGGAGAAAAAGACAGACATTCAAGATGATGAGACAGCTCCTGAAGTGAAACCTGCAATTCGACTTTACTATGGTCAAGATATCACTGGAAACGAAGATGATTCAGTTTTTCGAAAATTGAAGGATTGTTTTTCAGATGATTACCATGGTGAATGGGCAGGATTTTACAACAAAGGTTATCCAGCGTCTTCGAAGCATCGACACATGTTTTGGCATGTTAAGTACAGGAAGACCATGTCTCCACATCAAGATTATTGGTACCATCTTACAGATGACCAGTTGATGGTTGAGTACATTGCCAGACACAAGGATCAGGATCCACAACTAGAATTACAAGAACTCAATCAGCGCATTGAATATGGTTGTAGTGATCCTAGGATGCATCCTCTTCATCAAGACAAAGCAGAAAGATCCTCAAAAGAAGCAGAAAAGAGGATTGATGACGATTTTGGAAATCTCACAAGGGTACTCCAAGATTACGTTGAGGACCACAAGGTCTTGCCTTACTGTATGTATGATCTCGCATAGCTTGGCTTACAGGTATTTAGGTGGAGGCCTATCAGACCCAACGTACAAGGATGCTGAATTTCCATACAGATCCTCTCCACAGATAACAGCAATGTTTTGGAATTTGGGAAACTGGTGCAGAAACAGATTTGAAAAATGCCCGGTTCCAGAAAGATTTCAACAATTCATTCCACACATTGACTACGCCATCGATGAGGATCATGAAAAATTTGATGAAAGCAAATCACAGTTCAACAATTACTTCATCAATGTCATCAAGAACTTTGGAGGACATCTTTTCATGAATTGCGAGGCTGGTTCATTGTATCCTCACAGAGAAAGACTCGACGAGGTTGACTTTAAAACTTGCTTCAATGACTATCATGACTTGATGGTGGCAGCTCGCCTTGGAAAGGATGGCTATATCAAGCAAATTGCTGGATATCACACAGATGACAACGACACACGAGTTCGACAAGTCTCATGGGCAATCTTTGAAGTATCTTGGGGAAAGACAAAGGATCGAGATACAGATGAGATTGTTGACTTGACAAGAGCTAGGATGAGAATGACACGTGTGTGCGTTTATCACGTCGGACAGAAGTATGCATCAGACTCTGCAGGGATTGTTGGTGAGTGCTTAGCTGTTATGACTTTTGAGTGTGCCAGATATCAAGTTGACTTCATCGCAGGTGATGGAAACAAGGCATGCTATTACAGCACACCAAAATCTCCAGGTGTCCCTACATACCAACACAGCCTTATCCAATTCTGGATCAACAGAATGGTAGGTGTTGCAACACAAGCCATGCGCAAGTATTTTGATTCATCTTGCCCTCCAATCAGGGTCAAGCATTTCATTTCTTGCAGTTATCGTGACTTGGATTTTCTTGCAACGCACTTGGATGGCATTACAACAGCAACATACACCGACGAGCTCATGAAAAAGACAACTGGTAAAGGTGATTGTTGTATGTTAACAGTTGTTGAGTGGGGTCATTCACGTTTGATGTGTGAGGAACACCTAGAAGACTTTGAGGATGAAGATCACATGAACTATGTGGGTGAATTTTACTTCAAGGTAAATGAAACTTGCTTACATGGTGATCACAACATCTTCATGGTTGCTCCAAATGATCGCGATGCTCATAATCCAATTCTTATCCATCTTGATCCTTCGGATATGTCATGGAATGAACGACATCATTAAAAACAGGCCTACAAGAAGAAGCAGTATGCTGATTCAAGAAAGGAAAGACAGAAGAAGAAAAAGAGAAAGGCATATGAAGATCAAGCATCGACGTATCAGGGCAACACAGAGTGGGGTGGATCCTCATCTTCTTCGTCCAGACCATGGAGATCAAGCTTTTGGCTATGAGTGAGTGTATACTTCTTTAATTGAAGATAACACAGCATGAGAGGCCGTGCACAGTTTTTCTGTGCGTTCAACTTATTTCTCACAGATGGCATATACTCTTTTAGATAGAGATAATGCCACAAGTGTCTGAACTTCAATTTAATGTAAAATAGAGACTCTTGTAAATAGAGATACTATATACATTTATCTCCATGAATCATCCGGCGAGCAGACCACTCCGAATAGAGCGAACTCCAAAAATTACCAACTTCGATTTCAGTCCATTGTTTGCTTGAATGAGCAACCTTGGAGATCCGCTATTTCCGTTTATTTTCGTGATTTGGTCAATTGTTTTTCGTATGACCTGAATTTCTGAATCTTGCGAACCCGAACTTTTCAATTCGAACTTTCACCGGTAGAGCGAGGCATTTTGCCTGTGGAGAGACCGTGCACGAAGCACCATTGGTCGCTACTGGAAAAATTAGCGAATCCGCTGTTCTTTTTCGACATGTCCTTAGGACATTCGCTGCTTTCACGTGTTTTTCAATTCGAAGCCACTGCGTAACTCCGGTTTCTTTTGCTATTTGCCATTGTGTAGAGAAGTCAGGAAGATACTCTTAATACCAATTGGGTACGGCAAGGCGTAGTGCTCTACTCATTGCTTTTGAATTTGTGCCTGTGTTTTTGTTTCGACCTAATACCTACATAGGTACATGCATGAGTATTGAGCACATTTATATGCGCCCTCAAGGCTCAAGAGGTATATAGAGTAACCCTGTAGACAAGCACGGACCGGCAACAGGCTGAGTAAAACAAGTGCTGTCATTGGGGAAGACGCCTTAGCTGATCTTGAAGTAGACGCTAGGGCCCCTCTTCAGCCCTCCCCCCTGCACCCCCCACCCGCTTTTATTTTTAAACCGGTTCCCCTTGCTACCTACTATTCCTTTTTTTTTTGCATAAGCATCATCGTTTATTTGGGTTAATTTCATCTTTGTTGATATCCATCGAGACTTGTGCCTATGTGCTTCTTTTTTGATCTTCTCGTTCTTACTTGCAATATATCCATTGAGACTTGTGCCTATGTGCTTCTCTCTTGGTACGCATTGCGGGGGGAGGCGCTGCGCCCTCTCCCCTGCAGCCCCCCACCCGCTTTTATTTTTAAAACGGTTCCCCTTGCTACCTACTATTCCTTTTTTTGCATAAGCATCATCGTTTATTTGGGTTAATTTCATCTTTGTTGATATCCATCGAGACTTGTGCCTATGTGCTTCTTTTTTGATCTTCTCGTTCTTACTTGCAATATATCCATTGAGACTTGTGCCTATGTGCTTCTCTCTTGGTACGCATTGCGGGGGGAGGCGCTGCGCCCTCCCCCCTGCACCCCCCGCCCGCTTTTGTTTTTAAACCGGTTCCCCTTGCTACCTACTATTCCTTTCTTTTTGCATAAGCATCATCGTTTATTTGGGTTAATTTCATCTTTGTTGATATCCATCGAAACGAGACTTGTGCCTATGTGCTATGTGCTTCTCTCTTGGTACGCATTGCGGGGGGAGGCGCTGCGCCCTCCCCCCTGCTCCCCCCCACCCGCTTTTATTTTTAAACCGGTTCCCCTTGCTACCTACTATTCCTTTCTTTTTGCATAAACATCATCGTTTATTTGGGTTAATTTCATCTTTGTTGATATCCAGCGAGACTTGTGCCTATGTGCTACTGCTACTGCTACTGCTGCTGCTGCTGCTGCTCCTGCTCCTACTACTACTACTACTACTACCATTACTACTACTACTACTACTACTACTACTACCATCACTACTACTACTACTACGACGACGACGACGACTACTACGACGACTACGACGACTACTACGACTACGACGACGACTACGACTACGACGACGACTACGACTACGACGACGACTACGACTACGACTACGACTACGACTACTACTACTACTGCTACTGCTACTGCTACTACTACTACTACTACTGCTACTGCTACTGCTACTGCTACTGCTACTGCTACTACTACTACTACCACTACTACTACTACTTCTACTACTACTACTACTACTACAACTGCTACTCCTATACTACTACTACTACTGCTACTACTACTACTACTACTACTACGACGATATTTTTTTTTTGATACGGATATTTTTTTTTGATCTAGGTTTGCAGCACGAAACCCGTGAGGTCTCACACAGTGGCACCAGGATATTTTTTTTTGATGCACATTTTTTTTTTTTGATGCGTGCTGGATATTTTTTTTTTGATGCATTTATATTTTTTTTTGATACGTGTCTCTGTCGTCGGAGATCCAGGAGTTTCCAGCATGCTGCTCCTCTCTTTTCACGATATTCACCAGCTGCATCCTTCAGCACCGCACAGTTTAAGGTAGGCATTCAGCAACCTTTTCAGGTGGAGGAGAGACAAAATCACAAGGGATGGAATTTCTGTCTTCGACCCAAGCAGGTTTTGGGAGCTTTTTGCATATCACCCATCCAGTTTTGCTTGGCAAATTCAACCAGTGGAACCTCCAAATGGCTAGGTTTGCATCAACGGTGGTGCTGGCAGCATTGGTCAACCCTTGACGATGCTGATGGCCATGAACGAATCCCTGAAGGAGGCTGGAAACATGGACACCAACACTAGGTGTGCTGATGGTCGAAACCTAAATCGCGTCGTTTTCTTTTGATATATTATATGGCTGCTGTCGCTTCCTCAGCACCGACAGGAGCCAATGCTGCTCCCAAACCCCAGGTCCCGCAGCTTTTGAGCAATGGTAATCTCCCAAACCCCAGGTCCCGCAGCTTTTGAGCAATGGTAAACTCCCAAATCCAGCTGTTCCGTGGATGCTCCAGGCTCTCATAGAGGTTTGACTGCGGGGCCTCTTCCAAACTCTTCAGGCCTTTCCTCAACATCACCTGTCCCGAGCATGCAGGTCTCAAGCCATATGGAGTGGCCTACAATGATGAAGGCCAACTCGAGTACGACACGGCCAAGGAAGAGGCCTACCCCTGGGCTCTCTGTCGAGCCTATGCAAAAGGGCTCAAGCAGCAGTTGCTTGAAGATTGGTCCGAAAATACCGCCTGAAAGGCAAATCTTGGCGGCTTCGCCAGTAAAAAGGGAAGATGGACTGAAACCGTGGCTGGATTTTAAAATTCTCTTCCCTCATAATTGGGCGTGAGGCTTTTGATCCACTTCATTGGAAGTGAATAAATTTTTGGGACCCGTCTTTACCAACTTAGAGTTGAGAGGTAAGGCTTGGCATTGGCCAATGTCTGACCTTTGGTTTACGGAGATACTAGAGTAGAGGTTCCCTGTACATATATGCGTGTACAAAGCCTCTTCAGTAGCAACCACGAGGCACGTCAAAATAGGTGGTAAGCCTGGTGAGATATATAATTATTTTGATCTTGACTGGAATGACTTCAGTCACTGGAATTAATCGAAGTGACCGAGAGTAAACTAATAGACTATGACTTACAGAATATGGCAAAATCACAAAAATCGTAGTCACTAGACTGTTTACCCGTAAAATTAGTTCTAGTTTCACGATGCTTCAGAACGATTTACTTCCCTTGGTGTTGTGCAGCTGCTTAAAGTGGTGAGACACCGGCAGAGCTTCTTCACAACATCACCTACCTTTCCCCAAGAAATCTATGTAGTTTCTTGTAGTTTCGTGTAGTTTCTTGTAGTTTCTTGTTTTGTGCCTATAGAACTGGTGCCAGTTAGTGGGGTCAGTCATGATGTTGCCAAGTCTCGCACCAAGTAAGATCGACATTCGAACACGGTGCAGTTGTGCCCAGGACGTGAATTGCGCTGCCGGTGAGACTTCATGGAAGGAGTCGGATGGGTCGGTGCCTTGCATCAGCATCGCGCCAAGCCTTAGGTGTTTATCTTCAGACTATAACAGACTATATAAATCATTATAAAATGTTATAAATCTATATGATAAGTAGACGTAAATCTCAGCAAATTCAAGAAAATGAAGGAACATCGGGTTCATAAGGTGCAATTTTGGTGTCGGTTTTTTTTCAGACGATTGTCAGTTTCAACCCTTCGCAAAGCCGAACGATTTCGAACGTACGAGGAGCACCTTTTCGTTCTGCTCTGGCAGCGGGATGAGATCTCTGCTTTTGTGGATCCCACTTTGTCCTACAACCAAGCCGGTCAGCTCATTAGCATCCAGGCGCAACACAATTTTTTGGCTGAAAAGATCGAATGGATATCGAATCGTTGTAGTAATTTGTTTGCCGTGATTCGGAGACTGATACTTGATAAATTTTGATGATATTTATATATATATATACACATATTGCGGACAACTTGAATACTGGTTGAGAGAGAAACGAAAGAGTCCAGACAAGGTCAGGGCTGGTTTTCAACGCTAGAGACGAACTATCACAAGACATACAGTGTGTAGTTTGCGCTTGTAAAAAGTCAAGGGAAATAAGCGACCATACTCCGAGGGTATCGTTATATCTCATAAAGAAAACAACAACAAAATAGTTCATCACTCTGGTGCAACTTTGTCACCAGGAGAAACTGCGCCATGGATCTGCAACCTTCAAAACATACAAACGTCCGACCACGCCCACCTGGAGTGCTGTGCAGGACATTCATATTATTATGACATTGAGATGAAATGAAATGAATTGCAGTGAATTGCAATTATATAGCAGTCCTTGAGATTTTTTCAACCCTGGATTAGCTGTTGAGGTGCCAGGAGGCTCAAGTTTGTAGTTTCTGATCAATCATGCAATTATTTGTTTGAAATCCCCCTTGAATCAAACCCCTATGTTCCTTATATTCCTTGACATTTCTTTGCCTTTTTTACCTTGTGAGGATTACATGAACAAATGCTTTCCCGGACGGCACGCAGCTGATGCGCCCTTTGACATTCCCATGCAACTTGGTCTGACATTCTCAATTCCGACCGTTCCGACATGTTGAAGAATGGTTTCATTGAAATGATTGGACCCACCTTGGACCCACCTTGGACCCACCTTGGACCCACCTTGGACCCACCTTGGACCCACCTTGGACCCACCTTGTGTAAACAGTGGGTGTAAATTTGATTCATATTTCAAGAATGGTCGCCCATGCAGTTTCCTTGCTTGTCCACTGCATATAATGATTCCAATGTCCACCAGGAAGATTGTCCTGAACATTGCTGTGGGTGGCTATGGAAAAGCTGGCATGATTTGCTGTTGCGGACTTCTGATATCTGCTGAAGAGAATGTACAAATGTATACAAATGTCAAAAGTTGACCTGTGGTGCATGTTCAGATATGTTCTCGATATGTTCAGGTGGTGCTCCATGTTTCTGGGGTGAGAAGACGTGTGCTGATAGCTGTGGTGCTGCGGTGGGATCCGAGCTGATCATCTCGGACATCAGTGTTTGGCAGTAGTAACTCAGTAGTAGATAGAAGATGTCCTTGAAGTAGTCCTTGAAGTACAAGTAGGTTTTCCAAGCTGTTCTAAACGGCACTAAACGCAACGGGTATGGGTCGAAATTGCTGCCCTGAGATCCCCTAAGTGGGATGGTGAATGACCCAAGCCCAAATGTTACGAGCTCTGGCACCAGCCTATGCGCTGGTGGGGCTCAAAGCTTTCGTGAGGTTTTAAGTCTTGCCCACCTCGATTTTAACACCTCTTGGAGCTGAAATTCGACAGAAAAATGAGGCCTTGCAAATCTTTTATTCGAGCTGGAAGATGACCAACACTGACCAACACAAAATGATCAGTTTCCAATGAAGAGGGAGAGTCTTCTGGTAATTCTGATATGGAGTCCAGCTTGCATTCCGGCGAATCAAGCTTGAGTATATTTTAACGATTGGCATCGGATGGCTGTTTAGGGCTCGGGCGCAGGGGAGGGTGGCCCAGTGGGGGGGCAGTGCGATGAGGGACCGGACCAGGTGCACCCTTGCGATGTGGGTACACTGATGAATACAGCTGATTGATACCCTGATCAGTAGAAAGACGACAAAGATGAAACACTGCAAATCGCTCCACAGCACTGCACCATGGCATCAGTGGTTCAGTGGTTGCTACTGCATCTACTGTCTTTTCACCACTGATACCTGTCAGGAGCCGCAGAAGTGACCGCCTGGGCACAGCCTGCAGTGTTTGCTTCGATGTTCCGTTTGAGCTTTACTGCACTGTTCATTTGGGCGTGTCTAAAAACGGGGCATCATACCAGCAAAATTGCTATTTCATTGGCAATGTGATGATTGGTCAGTACACTCAAGGTATACAGTGTTATAGCGATTTACGGGGTGTGCTGTGATGTGCTGTGTATCTATTTGTTTTGGACAAACAGAAACCCACTTTGTTCTTTCAGCTCCCGAAGGCGAAGCTCGGGCGCGCCGGCGTAGAGACTCGAAGAGGAACAGTCCGGAACTTTTTTTTCGTTCTGAAAACAACTTCAGATATCTTCAGATGTTTCATCTAAGACTAAGGCATCGAAGGTTCCTGTGCTTTCGCAAAATGCGGCGGTCTTTCTTCAGGTCGCACTCGCAGCAAACGCACACGCAGCTCACGACGTCGCCGAAGCGCAACAGTGAAGCGTCGCGAAGGCCTGACTTGTATATGTTCATATATTTTCTCTTGATTTGTGTTGCTGGATTTGTTCGTCAACATGTTTTCCAAATGATTGGATGATCATGATGATCTTGGATGTTGAATTGTTTTGAAATCCTTTCGACATGTTTGAAAAGGTCATAACTGTCATAACTCATAACTGTTCATTCTTGGCAGGTCGGAAGCGCGTGGGTGCACGGAGGCAGTGCCAAGATGTGCCAAGCTTTGTCACGCAGACGAAGTCATGGTGCAGATCGTGGCGCCGCTGACAAAACGCCTCGGTACTGAGTACTTTCCACACCTTTCCACACCTTTCCACACCTTTGTTGAATGGTTGATCCATGTTGATCCTGTGATCTGAGCATTTCGCATAGCCCATAGCAGCCCTGCAGGTCTTTAGAAGCACTCTTCCACTGGAGGAGACAGTCTAGGAAAAATCGGAAGCGGCAAGTGGATATAAGTGGATACAGACAAGAACAAGTTCGATAGCAATTAGAAGAAGTACAACCTAGCAACTGCCTAGAACGACAGTTGAAGAAGCCCACAACCTGTGATCACCGGTAGGTCCTAGGACTTTTCTACACTTGTTCAACAGAATCCTCAACGCTTCACAGGGGACACCTTGAAGTCACTACACCTGGCCAGGTTCATGCCATGTGTGTGTTGGGTCGACGACGTGGGAAGTTGGCCAGAAATTGGCTGCGGTGCGGTGATTGGTGACTCGTGGTGACTCCTGATGACCAGGAAGGCGTTGGAGAGTGGAGAGCTCAGAAGGGCCCGGATTGCCGGACCAGTGCTGGATAGTGCTGGAGGCATCTGGAGGCCAAAGACGATCTCAATGGAGCCAACAGTGAAAGTCTGTGACTACAAAAGTTCAAACATGTTCAAAAGACAAGATTTCCAGAACTCTCATTGGGAGCACTTAGAGGAATTGAATGGAATTTAGGCTTAGACGCATTCATTCTCATATAAAGTGGATTAAAGTGGATAAACCAGATGATAAACCAGATGATAAACCTGCTCAGTGAGAGGTTGCCACGCTGTTGCCACGCTGTTGCCGCCCGAGGCAGTTGGGATTTGGACAGCACGACTCCCAGCAGCGATGAATCCGTCCGAGCCCCGAGCCCCGAGCCTCGAGCCGGGCAGATCTACGGCATCAAATCCCGGCGACACTGAAGAGTACTGAAGAGATAGAGAAACAATGAGAAACACGTAGGAAACAGGACTTAAGTAATAAACAATAATAAACAATACAAACAATGTGTTAAAACTTAAAACTGTTAAAATATGTTTAGTTTAGATATTTGATATTATTTGATTACAATGTGGAATCAGAATTTGAGTATGGTCTAGCTGATTGCAAGAGGGTTGACAAATGTTGACAACATTGCTTGGAGTCTATGAGTCGGGGAGTCCTCAGCCTGCTCAGCTGCTGTTAACTTCAAAAGTCGTTTCCTGTCGAATTCCAGACATCGCTTGAGACATGGCAGTGGCATTTGGTGTCGCAAAAGTGGTTCTGTGCCTCTGGCTGGGAGCCTTGGGTGCTGATTCCGATGATTACGAAGGCACCTCGGCGACATGCACAATAATCAGAATGATCAGAATGACAAGTTATTAATAAGAATGGTTAAGAATGGTTAAATCAGTTAGAAATAGTTAGATTAAATTTATTTTTATTGTTTATTATTCATGCAGGTGAGAAGTATACTAATTAGAGAGACTGAACTGTCTCCATGAACTGGAAGATACTGGAAGTGTCATGATGTACACAGATCTTCCGATGGTCCCAACTGTTTTCCCTGCGCATCTCCTCTGATTATACTGCAAGGTGACAATCAGTGGAACACTCTTTTTTGGCTTCAAGGGTTTAATTATTGATGACTATTGATCTTCAGTTCACAAAAATCAGAATAGTTGCGCTTGTATCAGGACCGCATCATCAGATGTGTGGATTCTGTAGCTTGAGACATTGCAGGACGTGGCTGGCCGAAATGGGCGTCCTTCTCAAAGAATAAGACAAACAAGACTGGGTCAGGACGTGGATGGCCGAAATGGGCGTCCTTCTCAAAGAATAAGACAAACAAGACTGGGTCAGGACCTGGATGGTTCTCGAAGAACAGGACTTGGCCAAAATGGTTCTCAAAGAACAAGACTGAAGTGCCGACATACCCGTGTGGCTGCAGAAACTGGAAAGGTGTCCTTGCACCAAAGGTGCGGAAGAGTTTGACACTGGCACACTCTGAGAACTGTACAGGTTGGCATAGGAAGTCAAGACCTAAGGTCTACTTAAGGTATGTTAAGGTGTAGGTAAGGTCTATGTCACAATGTTGAAATGCCACAAGCCTCGTGCTTCACAAAAGATCACGAAGTAGGCGGCAGGCGTAAAACTTTGCAGATCTTTGCAGATCTTTGCAGGTGGACTTGGAGGAGTTCAGCATCAATGCAGATGAGAAGTGTGAGAGACCCATGCAACATGCCTCGATGACCCCAGGGAAGTTCTGCAGCTGCGACAAGGGGAGAGCCGCCAACTGGGACCAAGCCGTCAGCGAGGCGGCAGGGACAAGACATGACAATCATGACAATGGCAAAGCTAAAGATATGAGGATTGCATAGGATTGCGAGTAGTGTTCTATTGTGAGACGCTTCTTAGAGGCGATTTTCTTCTCAACCCCAAAAGACATGTTCTTTCCTCATGATCGTTTCAGCGCAAATCATGCGCTCATATCCGTTCCATCTAAGTGACACAGTGTGCCACAGGCACAGAAAGCAGTTGATGACGCAGTGTCTCCAATTGTCGAAGAGATGATGAACGCCATCACGGCACTCCAGGAGAATATGGGACAACATGAGACAACAGAAACAGCAAAGGATTCGACTGCCGAGAGCAGTTCAAAGACGTTTAAGGATGTTTAAGGATGTTTAAGGATGTTTAAGGCATTAAATGCTGCCCCTTCTATTTGGCCCGCTTGTTTCATATTTAATTACGCCCTTTATGTTTCTCCTCTTTGGCCTTGTATTTGTCGAGGAAGAGCTTGGAATGATTGTCGACAGCTCCTCCATGAAGAAGCTGAAACCGAAGGTCACAAGTTTCCCACGGAAACAGGGTGAAGGCCTTTGGGTTTGCTGCTGCCAGAGTGGAGAAGCTGGCAAGTGCAGGACTGCAAAATGGTCACCAAAAGCTGTGTGTTGAAGTCAATGTTCTTTCTGGGTTGGGGTTTACGACGGGAATTGAACAGCTTTTCAATCAAAGACCTGTCACGACACGTCAATTGATCGCAGGAAGGATGCGGAACAGACTGGATGGAAGGCAGCGCATCATGAAGCACCTGCTGACGCCTGTGAGAACGAAGCTACTGAAGGTACCGAAGATACGGAAGCCGAAGATGAGGAACAAGCATGAAAAGATTGAAAAGGCCTGATACCGCAGAATCCGCAAACTTTGCAAACAATCATGTGAATCAATGTGAATCAATGTGAATCAATGTGAATCATGCCATTCAGCGATGGTGCCATGGAGGTGCCACTGATGCCACCTGAGGTAGCCGTCGTAGCTAGTTCAGCAAATCTCCCTCCAGACTCCTCCAGCGCTTAAACTCTGAAAAAAGTGCGTTTGATGTTGCTGGCATTGCTGGCAGACATTGGCAGACAGAACCATCGAAGAACCTACAGAGTCTGATTTCCTCACATCTCTCCGGATTTTTATTCGTCTGCATTAGAAGATGTTTTTGATTCGCTCTGTCACTCCTCACTAATTCTCACTTCCCAGCATCTTTGAGTCGCATTTGTGTCACAAGTCGCAACAAATGATCTGAGTCTCAACGAGTGTGATCTTTATCTTTTCCCGAGGTCTCGGACAGCACCTCACAGGCTGCGCAGCCGGGCTTATTTGCGGCTAAAGCGGCTAAAGTGGCTAACCTTTCCAGCTGCACAGAACGCCTCATTCGCCTCACACGCCTCACTTCCATGAAGATCATGAAGATCATGAAGATCATGAAGATCATGAAGCTTCGAACCTTCGAGCCGAGAGTCGAAAGTTGGAAAATCCGAAGATCTCAACGGCTCGAAGCTTCGATGTCAAACAAACTGTTCATCTGAACATATCTGAACAGTATATTGGAACATACTGGAGCATTCTACACATTGGATGGACATTAGTATTACGTTGCAATATATCATAATATATCACACTTCTAGTATTATGATGATAAATTATCACACACACATATATATATAATTATAATATATATATATTACTTATTTGCTATCTTTGCTGGTCTACATACTTCCATAAAGAATGTGGATGAAGCTGGACGTGGTGCACTCGCACAGTGTCCAGTGGACCAGTCGTCTTCCGACTGAGTTCGGACTGTGTCCATCTGTGTCCATCTGTCCTAGGTTCTTCGAGGTTCTTCGGTTCTTCAATGGTCCCCTGAAACACCGGCGGCGGCGCGAGTTGCGCGAGTGCCATCTTTCCTCCTGTGCCCGCGGTGCCAGGGACCCGAACGTACTTTGCCGGTTCGGGGCCGAAGCTGGGGGATGGAACCTGGGGAGAGACGGTGAGATGGTGAGATGAGGGTGGGATGATTTGACCAGGGGGAACTCTCTGTGGTTAAGAAATATTAAGAAGAGAGCTTACTAGCTTAGCATATCTTAGCATATCTTAGCATATCTTAGCATGATTGCCAGCTGAGCCAGAGACCTTGGGTTTTTATCTCCAAATCTGGATGGAGGCTGTGTTGATCACAACTTTAAATGGTTCGGTTGGGTAATCAGTCCAAGCGCCGGAATTGACACAAATCCACTGCTGAACTGCTGAAAGCCAAGAGATTTGCAATGATTTGCACGTTCAGCGATGCAACGCAAAGAGAACTGAGAACAATCTTGAAATGTGATCGCTTTGCAGCCAAAGAGGTGACTTACCGCATTGACTTGCGACATCTTCGGACATCTTGCAGTGGTCCTTTGGTGGCTCTGGCCTTGACACGATGGTCGCTGCGGGCAGAAGTCCAGAGGAATGCCGCAGGATGCCTTCTGAATGCCTGCAGAATGCCTTCAGCGCGATGATCAGCGCAGAGGAGTTGCAACGGATTGTGTAGATCAATCTGGATATCCCACATGGGCCGATTCTATGATTCTGCGAGTCCCCAAAATTGAGATTCTTCACTTTGGTCCGAACACATAGGCAGCTGTGGCTGTGAAGAGTCTAGTCTCTTCTTGTTGTGATAAGGCATTGCTGGAGTTCCCTCGTGAATCCTCACCAATGTGTCTCAAATCATTCAATAAACATCAATAAGTTTAAACGTATTCCAAACCACTTTCATGCAAAGCGTTCATGACAAATGCTACTTGTTCTGCCACAATCTAGAAACATCCAGAAACAAGGTTAGGGTCAAAACATCTTAGAATCCATCTTAGAATTCTTAGAATCAAAGAGTATCTTAATTTCGAGAAAGTCACATATCTCATATCGCCCCGCAACAAGGTGGGAACGCGTTGGCAAGTCTATTGCGACCTGGTGCTCAGCCTTGGTGTCATAAGTGTCGAGAGTCAATGCTCTTGGATTGTGAGAGACACAAAGCGCAATGCAAACTATCACTAAAATCACTAAAAATCACTAAGCACTAAGCACCAAAGACATTCGAAGACAAGCTTTGTGTGGGATCAGATTTACTTTCTCGTTTGCCTCAAATCAAAACAAATGATCAATCCAAGAGCATTGCACTGATGTTGATGATTCACACGTGGTTTCACCAAAGCCCTATTAAGGTGATTTCCGAAGTCTGAAGCATGTCAAGTTCCTTTTTCCATGTTCAGCGGCACCTTGCTGACATGTCAAAACAAGGTATGTAATCCTATGAAAACTGCACATCTTACTCCATTTTGTGTAGTTTGCAGCGGCTTCAGTGTCGAAAGCAAATGGAGTGGAAATGCAGTGGATATTCCACTTGTTGCTGAGACTCGTTGAGACTTGTTGTCCCAATCACTGGATATCACTGGTCTGTTGAACACTGCGCTTCGGTGCCGGGAGGACGGAGTCTTAGCAGACTTTGACCGCGGTGTTGTGGAACGCACTGGCAACCAGCCCAAAGAGTCGCTCGTCAACTGGACCATTCTGGCGAAACCAAGGACAACAATTAAGATAATAAAACATAATAAAACGAATTAAACCGAACAAAAGAAAATTATAGAAAATCTTGTAGAATACTCATAGAATGATAGAGGTTGTCAGATCATGTTTATGTGTTCTCTTTGTCTAACGAAAAAACAAAAAAACTACATTACAAGCAAACGCAAGTCTACCAACCAAGGTTTTCACGACGCGCAAAGTGCTTCTGGCATGTCTCGTCGTGTTGCATCTTCAAGCATGTGATTTGTGGCATGGAGCCTAGAGAAAACAGTGGGACACGGGGGACACGGTCATCAGATTCAACCAATAAAAGAACGCAAAGAAGCGTTGTGCCAGGATGTGGCGCCGTTTGGCCCCGCCACGGACCAAAGAGTTTTTTGTGCCGGAGCTCAGCTTTCTATGTATAGGCTTTATATGGTTTTATATAGGTTATGTAAGCAATGAATTCTTTTCTTGATCAACCTGAATCTCCGTGCATTTTGTCCGATTTCACTGACAAAGCCAAAGACTTGCCCAGCGGAGCACCAGAAAACACAGAAAACTCTCAATAGTTCTATTCTATCCTATTCTGGTCTCTTCCGTGTCAACAGTCCTTTGTGGTTCAGAAACAGTGTGTCACACTTAGAAAAGATGCTTGCTCACTCTGTCCAAGGCCAAGTTGGATTGGATGCAAGGGGGCGCAGAACTCTGGACTGGAAGACAAATGTTTGTTTGCTCACTCTGACTATTGCCTAGGCATTTCCATTTTGGCCATGTGCTCCTAAAAATGTGAGCCAAACTACTAGATCCTTGCAAGAAATGCGAGGGCTTGTTGTTCAGCCTCCCAACCTCGCATTCCCAACTTTTGGAAAGGGATATTAGGATACTCCAGACATTTTTCCTTCGAACTTTGGATGTGAAGAGGTAAGCCAAGCCGATCAAGCCGGTAGCCCTGTCGAAACTCTGCTTGAAAGATCTTGAAAGCGTGTCCTGCAGGAAATATTTGGAGCCTCTCTGTCCTGCTGTTCTCACAGGCTCTCCATCTGGTGACTGGGTGCGGAAACCTGGCACTGCGGCATAGCTTCCTGTATACTATAAGATGAATAGAATGAATAGTATATTCATAATATGAACATATTATGAACATGTAGATATTGTTGATGTATGATGTATATTGTATAAGTATTTTGGCATGTACCTTATGCAGAGTATTATGACACTAAATATATGTTTTATTTTGCATGAGCTTCTCTCACGTGATATTTATGTGCCTTGCTTTGCCTCCTCAAACATGTTGATTGTGTAAGGCCCGGCCACAGAAAGTTCAATGGTGCGAGAAGAATTTAAGGCTCTCCGCCGACAGAGCAATGAGCTCAATCGAGGCTATAATTGACTGTCAGTAGTGGTAGCCGTCAATATGGGGCGTTCAGTCCGCCTTGCTATCAGCATGAACATGCATGAACTAAAGAAGAGCATCCGTTGCTGAGGTCCTCGTTGTGAATGCGAGCGACAAGGCCCTGTTCAGCCATCCTGGTGCAATCCTCGTGGACGACCGGGCTGAATATCGCCCGAGGGCTCAGAGAACGAACATAGGTGCGGCAATGAGTCTTCCTGCTTAAGTATGTTTTATAATGTTTAATATGGTTTTAATTTGTTTTGTGTGTTTAGTCTGTGATGCTGGTACCAGGTCATGTCCTACTGGGTGCTGACCCACATCATCATGGCAGTCTTTGGGCTTCATTGTTCTTCATTGTTCTTCATTGTACCTAAGTTATCTTAAGTTTACTTCACCTCCAAGTCCGCACGGTTCACCCGGTTGCGGTTCACCCATCCTGAATGCTTCTGAATTCTGAATCGTCTCACAGCCGTTCCGAGGTGATGACTGGGAGGCCCGTGGCGGCATCTTTGTGCACTTTAAAGAGGCCACGGCGCACGCCCCAGAAACAGGAGAACAGAACGAGAACAGAACTCCAAAGTTGATCACTGCAACGATCACTGTTGATCATGTTGAACGGATTTCATACGAAGTCTAGGGATTGTCAAGTTTGATCAGCCCCGAACTCCTTGTTTGAAGATCATACCGGGTGATGCAAATGGTATTCCATGATATTTGGCGTATCAACCCTTCTGCAGACATCATTGACTGCCTTTATTTTTTGATATTATCAAGGGACACGAAGAATGACAAGACTTACAAGATACACAAACTGACTCGAGCCAAGCACTTTGGGACAGCAAGGGCTTCAGTTTATGCCCTAAGGACTCCATTGCCATGGCAGCAGCCTTGGGCGCTGCCGTGCAACGCACCAGTGAATGTAAAGTGTAAAGGAATGTAAAGTGCATTTTTGCTAGTTCCTGCTAGTTACCTGCTAGGTCCTGCTAGTTGCTAGTTGCTAGTTGCTAGTTGGATCGGGGTAAGCCGAGGTGAAGGAAGCTCTGCAGAAGCTCTGCTACTGTGGCGCGTTGCCACCGGGACCTGGTGCCCTCCCCGCTCCTCGGTTGAGTGTGAACATGAACATGAACATGCCATAAATCATTCATTTTTTTCATGTAAAAAATTGTGTCCCTTTGCATCATATATCATCATATATCATCATATATCATCATATATCATCATATATCATCATGTATCATCATGTATGCATCAATTAATATGCATCCCAATCCGTGCAACTTGTGAACCTGTTGAGGACTTCTCTATTTTATCTCGATGATGTTATCTGGATGATGATTTGCGCATTTGTCTCTTGGCGGTGAGAGCTGTTACTCAAAACTGTCCAAACTTTGGTCCCGTCAAAAGCCTAGCAGTTTGTGTTATATCTATCAGCGGAGCATATCACAATGTATCACCACTGGCAGCTCAAATTTCATTGTATCAAACAGTTGTCGCTTTGATTTTTCTTCATGCTTGTGATGACTGGAATCAACAGGGATGAGATTTGCAGGTTTATATCTCTGCCAAGCTGACCCAGTCTGGCCTCTCTACAGATGAGACTTCCGTTTCACGCGCAAAGCCATCGTCAGCACTTCTGACATATTTTCATTTGCAGCATGGCGCCATCGCTGTATTGAAATAGAATGATTTTCCAGGATTTTTCAGCAACCCAATACCAGAACCATCCAGAACCAATCGGTGCGCTCTTGTTGGGCCTCTGAGAATTCAACAATCCCAAGTCTGCCAAGTCCCTAGGCTGTTCTGCAACTCTATTCCAAGCTTGTGGAACGACAAAGGTGGTGTCCAGTGGTTGCAACTCTGATGAATGCATGTTGGATTTGAAGGCGACTTTGCACGGTGTGAATAGGCTGAAGAAACATGGTAGGATTGGATCATGAAGAGACGAGAGAATCCCATTGCCAAGACGACATCTTTGGCTGTGCTATCTTTGTTTGCATATCTTTACATATCTTTGCAAAGCTCTTTGCTACCAGTTGTACACCAGTCTTGTTCCAAAGCCGTGCAAAGAGCTGTCCAATGGCCCGCCTTTCAGTGCTGAATCGCAGTGAGATCGCGCTGCAGCACCAGCACTTCAAGCAAGACCCTCCACCAATGCGATGCCAAGACATCTGGTTATGCTCAATTGATGCGAAATCGTCCCCAAGAGTGGAGTGTTCTGAAAATCGAATGCGGACGAATGCCGCATCAAATGGTCTAAATTCTTGCAGGACCGCAGAGAGATTCCCAAGCCGGATTGAAATTGCGCCAAATTAGTGGCTGATGGGCTGATGAGTTCTCATTGTATTCTCAATTTCCAGTGTTGAGTTGGATGTGTTTGGAGTCTCTGAAGTTCGCGGTCCCTGCATTTTGTCAGGGCCCTGTCCGCTGTTCTGTGCTTCAGATCTTCCCTCGGCGCAGACGTGTCCAAAGGTACCCTGAGGAAGCGATCGCTGGACAAACTTTCACAGCACTGGACAGGTGTGAAATGCCCACATGCAGTCACAGAGAAACTTATACAGTCAAAAGTATTCAAAAGTCAAAACATTCAAGTATAAAAGACCTGTAAGACTTTACCCGAGGCAGACCGATCGCAGTGCTTTTGGTAGCTAGTCTGACCTGCGAGGGAAATTGAAGGCAAAAAGAAGAGGAATCACAGCTTTGCCAAGTCCGCCTGCTTCATGCTAGTTTTCTACAGAACGAAATCAACGAAAACTAGGCCGGACAAAGGTCGTGACGGGAACACTGAAATGGCATGAAATAGCCAAGTTTCGTGATGGCAATTCGCTTTGCCATCGCTGTATATTGCTGTTGCATTTCGCATCTTTGTGGCTCGCAGTGACACTGCCCCAAAGGAGGGTGCAATCCCTCTAGCTTTTCATTTGTTCCCCCAGAAGGTGCGGTGCTGTGCTTGATGGGGATACACAGTACAAGCTCGTAGGCGATTAAGATTTTAATGAAGGTACTCATACAAATAGAAAATTAATAGAATATACATAAATATTTACACATATTTATACACATATTGATATACATTGACTGTCTGTGGTGCTGCGTTCGCGCTTACTCTGAGGCGCCTGAGAACCATGGGAACCGAAGCAATGCCAAGACCTTGGGGGGAATTTTGCTGTAGAATGAGATGAATAACTCCCACTCAGTTCCAACAAGTCAAACCCATCGGATTCCATGGGGTTCCACAAAATTCCACGCAGTCAAAGTGATTCGAGGTTTGGCCTTACTGGCAAGGACTTTGTGATCCTTGCCGCGGATGGTCAGGCCACTGATGCCTGATGAACATGCTGCAAATTGCTGCAAGGATGGAACGCTTCTAGGATTCAACAGTGCAACACTTCAGTGCCTTCAATGGGTGAGAACAAACTAGGCTTTATGCTGTGGCTCCTGTTTTAATTGCTGGAATTTGGCAGGCGGCCTATTCTATCATCCGTCTCAAGAACGACGCAGACAAGATTTGGAAGGTTTTGCAGACAAGTTATTTCGAGCGATCTTTTTAATGAAGATTTGCAACAAGAGTGATCATGTCACTGATGTACTGTATTGATTTGTATTGAGAAAACATAGAAAACGCCTTCAGACGGCTTCGTGGCATCCCAGGTGGGGAACATGCTCTTTGGATGCTCAGGGCCCTCGGCAGACACTGCCAACTTCGCCTGGAAGCTCAGGAGAAAGGACCAAATGGAACAGGACCCGACTCAAGCGTCAAATGAGTCAAATGAGTCAAATGAGTCAAATATGTCGTCAAAGATCTTTATCATTCTTTACCATTTTTTACCATTCTCCTATCTTTACCTGGAGGCTTCCTGCAAACACTGACTCGAATGTGGAAAGATGTGGAAAGATTGGGGATCCAAATCTTCAATGGCCTCCAAGTGTGGCTGTGTCTTTGCTGTTTTGACCTTTGTTTGTGTTTGTACTTCGCAATCCTGGCCGAGATGGAATTCATCGAAAAAAACGTGAAGCTCAATGAGCTGAGAACGGGCATCCCCATGTCGACCAAGGCTCTTTTTGCTCGACTCTTTTGAACATTTTGGAACATTTTGGAACCGTTTCTTGAAAAAAGTTTCATTAAGGGTGAAGTTCAACACAGTTTAACACAGTTTTCGGCGCCGAGATTGTGGCAAGGCAGCTGCTAGCTTCACCCGCAATGAGTTGGCTCATGCCCTGCGCAAGGGACCCTTCCAGGTCCGCAGTCTTGAGATGTCTTGAGATGTCTTGACTTTGAGCAGTTTGAGACTGAATTGGCTGTGCAAAAGTATCTTCAAGTGACAACTGTAATCAACTGCTAAATCCGGATAGGTTGAGTCTTGAGCACATATTGGTGCGACAGGAATCGAGAATGACCATCAATGACTGAGAATGACTGAGAAATGAGAAATAGAAACTAGTTGAGTTCGTTGAGATGACGGAGTCAGAAACCTGAGAATCTGAGAGAACTTAGAGGTCTTTTTGATTCTTTTTCATTCTTGTTCATTCTATTTCCGGTGTTTCTGGGCAGAGAGGCGGATCTTCTTGTTGCCGGAGTGGACAACGAAGGCCCCAGCCTTTACTTCATGGTCGACAACTTAGTGCGTTCGAAGTATGTCTTCAGTGTTTTTCTTCATGTTTTCTTCAAGCGCATCTATGTTTGACGTCTTTTCTTGTTTCTTCCATATTCCTCCAAGGACTACCTGGCAAGTTCAGTGAAGGTGAACAAGGCACAGTCATAGAAGCTCTGATTCCTTGGCATTTGCTATGCATTTGCTATGCATTTGCTATGCATTTGCTATGCATTTGCTACATGTCTTCTCATATTGATTTCGAATATGCTAAGTCTGCTACTGTGTTAATCGACTTCCAGGAATGATTGTTTGAGCAGGGGCATGTCTGGCCAGGCGGCTCATGGCTACGGCGCCATGTTCACATTAGGTTTGATGGCACGAGCCTTAGACTTTTTTCCAACTGTGACGAACGAGTAGAAGGATCGAACTGGCGGAGTGCACCAAATTGCATCAATTTTATTCAGGATCGATACTGGAAGCCAGATCTCACTGAAGAAGAGGCACGAAAGTGGAGCAGACCTCTGACAGCGAATACGCTTGCTTCAAACTTAAGCAGACAGTTTGGAAGTTGTTTGGAAAGTTAGTAGATATTTGTAGATAAATAATGATAAATATTTGTCATTATTTGTCTAACCTTCCGTGTTTCCTCAAAAGTGGCTTGAATGCTCGATGCAAAGCTTGGAGGCCATTGACATCATCAAGAAATGCATCAAGGAGCTGGAGACGTGTCTTGGCCGAAGGGCGATAGTCCCACAGCCGACAAGCTTTCATCAGAGAGGAGGGTACATTCAGAGATGGGGGTTTCATAAAGAGGGTATCCCCAAATCATCCAAAATTAGACAACTATTGAAATCCATGGTTTTAGGGATCCCAGGATCCCCCATTTCAGCAACCCCCCAGATGAAGATTCGATGGAGTCCTGTGCTCTGAGGATAGAATCTGACTCATTGGAATCTTGCACTTGACTATATTGACTGATTCTTTCGAAAATCCTGAGGCGCTTCATTGTAGATTTGCCCGGGTACAAATGTCCTGCCCTTGGCATGACCGAACAGGTTTTGCCCTCCTGCTCGTACTACTTGTCTGATCTTGTTCGTGCTTGGCCTGTTGATAGGCAAGATCGTGAGCAAGACTGGCATTAAGGAAGTGCAGTGCTAGCCTTGGCGGTGCAAAGTCGCTGCCATTTCCACCATGGGTTTGTTCCAGGTGTAACACGCATCAAGAAACAACGAAAAAGAACAAGAGATAACAAGAGGCATTTCCATACATTTCCATACATTTCCATACATTTCCATACATTTCCATACATTTCCATACATTTCCATACATTTCCATACATTTCCTTCAAATCCTGCCGAGGCTGTGAGAGAGCTACCAGCGACCTGAGCAACACCCGCTTCTGAGCTCCAATGTCATACCTGGCCATGGAAACTTATGGGCTAAATGGCTAACAGCGGCTCCCACTTGTGCTTCATTAATTGGTCTCATGACACATCATGATAAGTTTAACAAGTTGCATTACATTGCAAAGTGGTGAGATTAATAATCTGATATAATCTGTAAGTTATTGTAACTTCTAGAATTCGGAGCCAGGATCCTAAGGTATGGATTTCACAGTCAAGGAAGCCGGCAGGACAAGTGCTCCGACGGCGCATGTCAGTCTGAACAGGACGCGTGGCTGGCCAGTGGAAAAGACGCACTCCCGCAGCTTCAGATTTTGCAAGCAGCTTCCGTCTGGAGACTTTGTGAACGTACGTGATGATGCATGATGTCATGATGTCAACATCAAAGTTACCCAAAGGTTCTCTAGTGATCTTGTATCGATTTTAATGTCTTCGGCATGTTCCGGTGATCAGCTTGTTGGATTTTCTGGCTTGGTGCAAAATCGGGCAGTCTGGATGCTTTTGGTGTACAAGTGGCTTAGCGCACAAGATTGTTTGGTAGAATCTGCTTGTTGGAAAATGGTTTTTTCTGTGCAAGCTGCTTAGCTGAAAAGGCTGTTGGTGTAAAGACATTTCTTGGCACAGAGGGCTGTAGCGTTGGGCTTGGTGTACCGGTCATAGCACCTCAAACAACCAAATGATGGTACTCGCTTATAGTGAACTCACTCCGCCCGATCCAAAATCTTGCGTTTAGTTGGGGGTGACTTCCCCGGAAAGTCGCCCCAACATGCGTTTAGTTGCTGTGGAGCATTTGCGTAAGATATAAAACGATGCTTTAGAAGTATAAATATTGCGTCATTTAGCTTGTGTTTACGCTGGTGAACTTGTTTTTTTGTCATGCTTGGCTCATTTATGTGACCTTCGAGCAAATCCAGTCACGTGTTTACATGTCGCCCTGCCGGGGGGGTGCCTTTCTAGAGTAGTTGGGGGACCTTCGCCGGCATTGAGTAGAGTGAGGTTTTCTTTGGGCAAAAAATGCGTGATCATGTAGCAAAATGTTCAAAGTGTCGGACAAATTCCTCCATGTGCCGGCCTTCTGGGTTTCAGCATTGTGGTGGTGCGTTGGGTCACGCTCTGCGTGGAACAACGCGCAGTGGCAATCACGACATGTCCTATGGCTTCATTTTGGGCCAACTTTAGGCCGGTTGTGGGGAGCGGTAGGGTTGTGCAAACACTTGGAAAATCATTGGAAAGTCATGGAAACAGCAATCCGTAATGTTTTCAAAACTTTCGTGGTGTTGGATGCCTGGAATTGATGCAATTGTGTGTAATATTTTCTCGGTGGGTTGGGTTGACCCATTTTTATGGACATGTTCAGCTACTGTACAGGATATGCATGGCTTCGCAACATTTCATCTAAGTGCGTATATTTGAGTTCAACATGTTTCTACACAGATTGTTGATTCATCAATCAAGCATATCAAGCATGGACCCGCTCTTTGGATTTGTTGGTTGACTGTGCCAGGTAAACTCCCATGATTATCCATGATGATTATACCGTATAGAATCGGATGGGAGAAGAAAATCTGACAAAATATATTTTGCATGATGCTGCAATGCGAATTAACATCCATCAGTCAAAGAAGTTTCAAAAGGACATGGGCAGATAGTGGCAGATACATCATACATCATGATACCAGAATAGAAAGTGTCCTTTTGTTCATTCAAAAGATCACCCCACACGATTCCGGGAAAACTCGTGCAGATATCTCCGAGAGTGAATCGTACAAATCTGGAATGTGGCGAATTGTACGTGCAAGCGCTTGCTGCTATGCCTGGCTGCGCGGCGCAAGTTAGAGCATTGGGCAGTGGATGCAGCAGACGGGTCTCAACTAGTCTCAACATCAATGACTTGGAAATTGTAGTGTTTGATGTGTTTGTTGTTTCGCACAACATAGACCATGTAGACCCCTTTGCTAGTTTCGACCTGTCAGTGGCAGGTGCAGCCAATGTTTCCTTGATGGATGCTGTTATGAACCAATGAAATTACATGCATATCCATTATGATCCATTTGAGCAGATTTGAACATGTTCTTCAATGATCTTCAATGTAGGTTGATCTTACCAGAAATCCTGTCATGTCCTAGACCGCACACTTGTGTTCTTACCGGCATGTCCGGAAGTTTTTTGGGTGCTCAAGAGACAGGAAAAACAACATTGGTTTTGTTTTTGCTCTGCTTTCCAGGCTTTCCTGATGTGTGTTGTATGCTGATTCTGTGCTTAGCTTGATCAAAGGGTAGCACCCTTGCAGAGTCAGACACATTGGCGTTGTTAAGGTTTTGGGCACCGGTCATGTCTGCTGATGTCACCATAGAAGCAGATGGAGCTGTGTCAAGCTCAGAGCGTCATGTGCGTTGCGACTGAGTTTCGCGAACTTGAAAGAACCAAACACAACGGCTGTACCCATGAAGAAGTTGGGGCTGAGCTTTGTTGAAAGGTTTCATTCCAGGGCAATTGCTACCGTTCTCTTCTTGAGATGCAATGATATCATAGCCTACGTAATTATATTGTGTATACTATATAAATATGTACATATTATATTAATTTATTGTGAATATAATATACATATTGTGCATAATATGTATATATATATATATATTAAACATTCATATATAATACATACAGACGTACTTGCAGCGAACCGACGTGGATCGTAGGCAGTCATTTGATCTCACACAACATCACAGATGAGTGGGGGAACTTCCCATGAAGACTGGAAGCATCTGGAAGGGTAAAGGATGCTAAAGGTCTTGTTGGGAATGGATGCTGAAAAACTATGCGGCTGAGGTGAACTCTGCACGCAAGCCACGTCGGAGCACAGCTCCTGTGCTGCTCCAGGTACCGTGGACCTCACAACTTATGGTAGTACATGGTAGCACCAAAAACTCACCAGAACCACATTTAATTTGGGTTTGTGGGCAGTATGGTTGCGGCTTTGCCTGTGATTTCAGACGACAAGAATGAGGTCTAATCGTGAGGAAACTTGGTGGGGCAGATATGCTTCAGTGCAGGCCAAAGCTACCTTGAAGAGACCAGAGCCCGACGATATTGTCAGCACCTTTGCCCGACTTTCCGACTCTAGCTGTGATTCCATATACATCCATATACATCATATTATACTGTAGCCATAGATCTCCTCCCCCTCTCCTCCTCCTCCTCCTCCTCGTCATCGTCATCGTCATCGTCATCGTCATCGTCATCGTCATCGTCATCGTCATCGTCGTCCTCATCATCATCATCATCATCATCATGACCACCATCCGTATTTTGTTTGGGTACCATCAAAAACCTGCCATGGGTCGATCCTAAGAGGAGCCAACCAAAATAACGTGTGCTCGGTAGTCTCCTTTCATCACCTGCTATCACAACATATAACAACTACATACAACTACATATCTTTCGTTCCCCCGCTTGCTCTCAAGTGGATAGCTAGACACATTTTCAGATTTGTGTTTTTATGGCAGCAGTTCATCAGGTCCACCAAGTGCAGCCAGAGGGGAAGGCAATGCCAGGGTGTCGGGTTGAGACTCGGGCCCCAAGATAGGAGGAAAGGACATGAAAAGACATCATTATGGACACGAAAACCGTTCTGGAGATGACTACAGCAGAGTTGATACACTTGAGCCAATGTCCAAACTGCCAGGAAGCACGTCCGACACCGAGGAGTGATGTACGCGATGCAAGTGCTGCATTTCCCTTGTCCTTTCTGCAAGAGGACGCAACAAGTCTCACCAGTGGAGTCAGTGACGCAGTCAGTGACGGAGTCAGTGACGGAGTCAGTGACGGAGTCAGTGACGGTACACGTGTGGCTGTTGAGACCTCTAAACAGCCTGCAGCCACTGTGGCCACTGTGGCCACTGTGGCCACTGTTGCCCCTGCTTCGGACGAATTTCTCACTGAGGCAGGGGAGAAGGACCTTTGAGAAAGTGCATGAATTTAAGCTGAAGATATGCCGAAACTTTTCATCAATGAAAATCAATGAAATCGTATTTAAAGAAGTTACCCTTGCCAGGTGCTTCCTATGGGAGCTCCAAATCTTCCGATGCCTCAGGCCTGTGCACAGCCATCTTCACTCATGGCATTTTTGGATCTGTCTTAGGAACATTTAGATACATTTAGGGTATTTAGGAACATCAATTGAAGGGTCTTTTTTTACAAACCACGTCTTTCTAGAATTTCTAGAGCCTTGCATCCCCCGATTTCTTGGCATTTCCGGGCTGGAAGCAAGGCTCTTGGTTTGCCAACTTTTTCAGTCTGCATGTTTGATATGTTTGAATGTGTCATATTGTTTCTTTTTGGAAGCCCTTAGATATTCTGCGGCATGCTGTGGCTGCTGTGGCACATGTGTGTGTTTCTTGTGGCAGGTGGCACCACTGACGCCGGTAACGCCCGTGCTTATGACACCGATGAGCTTTCAACTTCTGTCGGTGTTGATCGTACTTCTGTTGGCACTCGTCGCTTGGATGCATTGGATCAACATGATCAACTTAGACATGGGATGCGTATGGATTCGTATAGATACGTATAGAATCGTATAGATTACTATGATACTGATTGTTACTGTAATTATGATATAATAAGAATATATATTAATATATATATTTAAGGGCTGCCGCCCCTGCCGCCGACCCCGGTAAAGAATCGGGGATTGTTGGTGAAACAGGCAAGCTGTGTGACGAGAAATTTTGGCAAATGCATCATCACATGCAGGATCATTTTTCCCAACCTTTTCCGCTTGCTCAACATTCAATAGAAGCCCATCAGCCCCCCTGCTGCTGCTGCTGTTGTTGTTGCTAACAGAAGAGTAGCAAGAGCACCTCCTGACACCAAAACAGCAAGGCACGGAAGGACGAACAGGCCCTAGAATCGCACCGAAAAAGTGCCTAACGTCCCTTGTGAATGCCTTGGAAAAATGTTTTTTTCCCAACCTTTTCCGCTTTTTCAATCTCCCATCAGCTAGCTCACCTGCTGCTGCTGCTGTTGCTGCTGCTAACAGAAGAGTCGCAAGCGCACCTCCCGGCACCAAAA